CTGGTTTACAAACTTCGCAAACTCTTCCAGTTTTTCTCTTCGATGTGACCAAAGTGCGAAGTAATCATCCGAGTACCGCATGAGCACTGCCGGTTGTAGCGTTGCCGTCTAGAAGCTCTCTTCTATTTTGTTCATGTATACTTTTGCCAAAAGTGGTAAGAGCGGTGATCCCATGGGAAGTCCAAATATTTGTTCACAGATGTTCCTGTTGAATGTAAAATAGGTCTTGTTAACGACTCCCTCATGATCCGTTGTGATTCCAGGATATCCTCCTATCGGTCCAGAATATTCAACAGGGCCGTTAGCGCATTTTCTCCAGAGATATTAATAAACATTGATTCCATATCGAAACTTACGAATAAGTCCGTTTCTTTCAGTGCTATGTTTTTGATTTTTTGAGAAAATTCATATGAATGCTTCACCGTATTGGATAGACTGTCATTTAATTTCTTGAGTTTCAAGCATATAAACTTTACTAATTTGTGTGTTGCTCCATACTTGTTGTTGACTATCAGCCCTAGTGGCTCTCCTTCATTGCGTATCTTCGGTAATCCGTAGGCTGTTGGGGATCGTGCATCCTTTCTTATGATTGCATTTCTTGTCCATGCGTCAATTTCCCTATTCCTGTGCATATCTTCCAGCATGACATTTAAGATTGCATTGATCTTCATAGTTGTGTCCTTGTTGCATATACGATATGTGGTCCTGTCTTCTCGGTATATTGTTTTTGTCCATTATCACTGTAGCTCCTCCTTTGTCCGCCTGAAGGACCAATTGTTCATTCGTTTCCAGGGTTTTGTGTGACCTGGCAAATCTGTTCCTGTGTATAGGCTCCTGATGTGCCAAGCCAATTCCCGTTTTGTCTCCTTTGGGAACTTGTCGGCGATATTGGTAGCCTCCACCAGGATGTCTCCTAGAAGGCTCCTGTGATGTTGAATTGAAAAATGGAGTACTTTTTCCGGGAACTGGGTTGTTTCGGGATTGAGAGGAATTGATGGTAAGTTTAGTACTTTCTCGTGCTCGTGCTGAGTAGATGTTGTCACCTCGAAAGCCACATCAATCGGGCGTACTGGCTTTAACTTAGGCTGTCTTATAATCCCAAACTTACGCAATTTATCATCATGCCGTTTTGTTATTAAGTCAGAAGTCCATCGTGATTCCGGTCGGTCATTCTGTGGGGTTCTTGAAAATCTTCCTGGCCAAATCACGCCGGAGCTTTGACTTAATATCATTCAACTTAAGCAACTTATTTCGTTCTGTACCATAGGTCTG